TTTGAGTATGAAGGTGATGAAAAGGTTAAGGCGAACGTAAATGCACTGGTGGTGGTGTAAAGACAGTACAGTGGAAAGGTGAACATAGAGGTCTAAGTTTAAACAGGGTGTTCAGATAGCTTTTAAAACAACAGAAGTGTTAAAGGGTCAACAATAATTATATATTGCTCTGTTATGGCATTAATGCAAATCAAAATTAAGTTTAAAATGAATATTACAGGACTGAAAAAAGACTAATTTTTTTGTTTATGGTTTTATTTCTTCCTAAATTTTTAAAATTTACTTTTTGGTGTTATAAGAGACCGTTCTAAACGGCTTTTTCAATAAAGCACAGGAAGACAACAGTACCTTTTTCCACAATTTTTATTGCTTTTTTTTTTTACTGTTATTTTAGTATGTAACTCAAATATCGTATCAAAGTAGCTTTATCATTCTTGTTCTTCTTCTACTGTTCTGTAATATTATCAGATGCGCTGCCTTAAAGTCATTTAGTTTGTGCGATAATTTACTGAATGGTTAGAATTTGGTTAACCAAATTTTTTTAAAACCATATTTATCAGCTGTTATTTGTTGATCGTAATTCAATATTATTTGTCGAAAAAAATTGCGAAAACAATAGATTAACGGTTTTGAGTTCGGTTTTAAGTAGGTCTTCGTGAGAAATTGTGAGAAGTTGTTTGAGTGGTCAAAAAAACTTTGTTCTTTAAACATAGATTCAACTGAAATAGTTGAAAGTCGTTGTAGTCAAATTTTTTGTCTTTATGATTATCATCAGACAACAGTATTGTTGTCAACATCGTCATCAGAGTAGTGGTAGCAACAGCAGCAGCAACATCGGTAAACAGACAGACACCAAAAAGAACGTTTTTATAGTAACCGATACTACTGAAATATGAGCCCAACAAAAAAAAAAATTGTTTTTTTTTCTCTTCTATTTTGATGGTCTGTTACAGGAAATTTAATAGATTACTGTAAATAGATAAAGAATGACAATAATAATGATAATTGTTTTCTTTACTGCTCTTTTTTTCATGTTTTTATTATTTAAATATCCAACCATTTTTATGTATCTTTTGATACTGAAAAAAAAAAAAATTATTGTTTTTGCATCAAACAAACAAAAGACGTAATGAAAAATTATGCAAAGAAAATTTTTTTCCTACTTTGCAGAAAATTAAAGTGAGAGAATTTTTATCTTCTTTTTTTTTTATCTTTTTTTTTTTCAACACTCTTTTAGCAATTCAGCCAAATTCGATGGTTTATTAGGATTTTCTTTGTCCTTTTTTTTTTTCTCTTGGAAACTAACTGCTTTTTCATCATTGAGATTCCCCTTTTTTTTTTTTTTTTTTTTTGCTTTATTCATTGGAATAATTTTGCAACAAAATTATCTGGAAGCCTTTTTTGTTATAGTTATTATTGGTAACAACTCAGCTGTCAACACTTATTCTGTGCTTAGTTGTTTAACCAATGGTCCACATCAGCAACGATCCGTCCAAATTGAATAGTTTGGTCTTTCAAAAATTTTGTCTGACCATTTTCAAAATTTCTGTTCCATTACACTTTACATCCTCAACTTCCGTTTCCCATTCACACCTGAACCGCGTATTGTCACTAATTTACTGATGTTTTTGTTGTGACTAAATTAGTGCTAAAATTGCATTCGTATACCTGGATTAAATCTGTTCTAATAAAAGCGCAGCTAATTGTTGACAATTAGCTGGATTTTTTTTATTTCTTTATTATTTATTTATTTATTTTTTTTTTTT